GGAAACCCAAGGAGGGGTCGCTATGAGTCGGGACGGACTTGATGGCACATAACAACAACATGATGTTTTTGGCATTTGTCCGTGGTGCATGTATAAATAGTTTGTTCTTTTTTATTGCTGCATAATATTCTGTTGTATGAATATTTTACCATTTCTTTCTTCACTCGTCTATTGTTGGACAGTGGGTTGTTTCTAAAGTGTTTTTAGTTCTAATGAGTAAAATTGTACAAACATTCATGTTCAAGTCTTTTTTGTGGATATACACACATTTCTTCTTGGTATACACCAAGAAGTAGAATTGCTGGATCATAGAACAGGCATATGTGTTGCTTTATTAGGAACTGCCAAACAGTTTTAACAGACTAGTTGTGCCTTTTTATGTCCTGATTTCAGCAACACTTGATACTATCAGTATCTGTTCTGGTTCCCTGGTGCTGCTCTGACAAGAAGTATACCACAAATGGAGTGGCCTTAACAAACAGGACTTTATTCTTACAATTTGGAGGCTTTAAGTCCAAGTTCAAAGTGCCAGGCTCTAGGGGCTAGGTGAAAGCCCCTCAATCTTGGAGTCCAGCTCTGCCTCCTGCTCCCGGCCCACTGAAGCTAGAGGCGTTTCTTCACTCGGACAGCTGCTGGCTGCTGAGGCTGAGAAGCCCCAAGGTTGACAAGTAAAAAGGCACAGTCCCGATGTTACCAAACCACATGGCAGGCCATTAACTTAAGTCCATTTTAAGTCCCAAGGTCGGCAGAGCATAGCAGGCTGCTGAGCAATGACACAGCTACATGCAGGGTCCAAGCGTGCCATAGGCTAGAGACTATTCCCAAAGCTCCTTGTATACAGGAAGCAGACCACATCCCAGAGGCAGCTACTCAGCTGCTTGTGGTAGATCCCACCGTGGAGGTGATTGCCAGTCTCATCCTGGGGAATAACTACCACCAGCTGCCCAGCCACTCAGCCAGGCCCAGCCAAGTTGACGCACAACATAACTACCACAGTAGCTATTTAAAAAAAAAACAAAAAACAAAAAACTTTTTATTGTGATTTGGGTGAAAGTTTACAGAGCAAATCAGTTTTCATTCAACTGTGAACACATATTTCGTTTCAGGTCGTTGATTGCAGCCCCTTCCGTGGAACATCACCCCTCCCACTTCATCCTTGGGTTTCTCCTTTCTCTTCCTCCTTGTCTCCTAACCCTTCCTGTGCTGTGAACTTTGTTCCTGGGCAAATGCTTTTGATCTTGAATGGTTGATTGTTCTAAGGAGTGTGTCCTTTCATAGAGTTATTGTTCAGCTTGTAGACTAGTCTGAAAATTCAACTACAGGCATGAGTTCAGTTCCAGGTCCAAAGGGTGACCAAGGGGCATAATCTCAGGGGTTCCACCAGTCTCTATCTGACTTGTGATATTGTCACTATATTTAACTTTAGCCATTATTGGTGGCTTTGTCCTGTCTAATTGGGATATTGCTATGCATTTTTCAATGACTAATGATGTTGAATATATTTTCATAATACTGACCATTCAAACATCTTTTGTGGGAGGTGCCTTTTCAAGTATTTTCCACATTTTGTGTGTGTGTGTGTGATTTGGGTGAAAATTTATAGAGCAAATTCTTTTTCTGGACAGCAGTTCATACACGTTTTGTTTCATGACACTGATTGCAATCCCACTACTGTAACAGCTCTCCTCCCACTTCCTCCCCGTGGTGACCTCTTCCCTGTGTCCTCTTTCCTGTGCATTCCTGCCCCCTGAGCTGTCTCCCTGTGCAAATTCTGTCCTTCTCATCTCCCATTTTCCACACCTGTAAAAGCCAGGCTGTTTGTCTTCTTCATATTGGTTTGTAGGAGTTCTTTATATATTATGGCTATATGAATATAAAGTATATAAATACAGATTTTTCAATGGTCTTTACATTTTTTTCAGACAAGCATCTATTATAAAAAGCAAAGGCCAGGGTTGTAACACTAGCGAGTAGAATTGGTGTGTGATCTTGTGCAGTTCACATCCCTTCTCTGCACCTCCGTTTCCTCTCTGTGCATGACAATCACAGCTGCCTCTCTGATCTCAGGATAATGAACAGAAGATGTTTTGGAAACCGACAGATGCTCAAAACTGTGTGACGTTATTCTTCAATTATGACGAATGTGACATAATGAAAACCGAGTCTTCCTTCCACCCCAGGCCCAAGTCTGCCCCTGCACAGGTCCCCAACCCAGTGATGGTTTCTTCTGCGTCCACAGTGTTTGCGCACAGGAGCTCCATCCTTTATGGACAGAGTGGCCCCTAGGACAGGGGCTTTGTTCTTTAGAGAACGTGGGGTCCTTTAGTTTCACAAGGAGACCCAAGGACTTCGCCTTTTGAAGGATCTGGGACAGAAGTGCCCAGAAACTGGCTGTGGCTGGGCTGGCCTTTAGAGATCCCCCCATTGGACAGACGAGGGAACTCAGGTGCACGGTGGAGACGCTGCTCGAGGTGACGCTCAAAGCCTTGAAGCCAGGACACTATGGTATCAGTGGCCAAAGGGCACTGGCCGTTAGACGGGCTGGGATGTGCCGGGCAGCCTCAGCTCACACAGGGTGATGGGACGTCCAAGGTCGTGCTCTGGTCTCACCTGCTTCTTGCCTCTCTTCCCCAGTTCATCTCAAAGAAGGACCCGGAGGATGTCAAAGAGGTAAGGCTCCTGGGAGGAAGCAGGGCCCTTCCCCACTCCACGTGGGAACCAGTCAAGGATCAGCGGGTAACTCTGGGAGATGCAGCCCTCCTTCCTCCCTGCCGGGGACCAACAAGGGTGCTGAGCCCCAGTCCTCAGACCTTCCTTGGGGCCAGGCCAACGGCTCCCACTCCAGCTCAGGTCACGCCTCCCATCCCTCTCAGGTGGTGGTCTGGAAGCGATACAGTGACTTTCGCAAGCTCCACGGAGACCTGGCCTACACCCACCGGAACCTCTTCCGTCGCCTTGAGGAGTTCCCCCCTTTTCCCCGCGCACAGATGTTTGGTGAGCATTGCACAAGGCGAAGTCCTTGGGTCTCCTTGTGAAACTAAAGAACCTAACAAACTAAAGAACTAAAGTTGGGGTGGGGGTGGGGGGGAGTGTGTACAGAGACACGTTGCAGAGAGTGACAGACCTCTAGTAAATAAACGAGTGGATGAACGGGGCCTTGGAGATGGCCCCATTTTTTTTGTTCGGTGCCACTGAGTCAGCTCTCACTCATAGCGACCCTGTGGCCAACAGAACAAACACTACCCAGTCCTACACAATCACAACCCTTGCTCTACCTGAGCCCATCATTGCAGCCACTCTCTCAATCCATCTCCTTGAGGGCCTTCCCCTTTTTCTCTGACCCTCCACTTTACCAAGCATGACATCCTTCTCCAGAGACTGGTCCTTTCTGACCACATGACCAAAGTAGGTGAGACGAAGTCTGGCCATTCTCACTTCCAAGGAGCATTTCAGCTGTACTTCTTCTGGAACAGATTTGTTAGTTCTTCTGACAGTTCATGCTGTTTTCAGAATTCTTTGCCAACACAAGTCAAAGGCATCAACTCTTCTTTAGTCTTCCTTATTCACTGTCTGGGAGCTCTGGTAGCGTAGTGCCTAAGGCACTTGACTGCTAACCAGAAGGCTGGTGGTTCAAACCCACCGGCCACTCCTCAGAAGGAAGATGGGGCAATCTACTTCCGTAGTGATACTGCCTTGGAAACCCAAGGAGGGGTCGCTATGAGTTGGGTCCGACTCGATGGCACACAACAACAACAACAGCATTCACTGTCCAGCTTTCACATGCATATGAGGCGACTGAAAATACCAGGGCTTTTTTGGCCCCATTTCCCAGATGGGAAACTCAAGGCTCAGAGCGGTAAAGCCCTTCCTGTATCTCAGGCACTTTACTCTTCCCGCCCTCATCAGCCCTGTTTTCAAGATGAGTAACTAAGGCTCAGCGAGATGAAGGGACTGAGCCTGTGAGTGGCAGAAGCAGGATTGTGACCCACGAGCTGGGGACTCCACCTGCGTTGCCCAGCACAGTAGCCGTGAGCCCTATGTGGCTGAGGTGCACTTGGGGTGCGGCCAGTCCCAGTGGAGATGTGCGGTAAGCACAGAAAACACACTGAGAAAAATGAAAATATCACACTAGTAATTTATCAGTTACATGTAGAAATGATAATACTTTGGATCTGTTGGGTTGAATAAGATACACAGTAAACTACGAAAGCTGAAGTTGTGTAAGGCGGAAACACGTCAGAGAGGGAAAACTCCAATATTTAAAGCAGCAGCAAAGTGGGGAGATGGGAAACTCGTGAGAGTTGGTTTCACTGTGACCAGAAAGCCTGCGAGGGCTGGCATTTAATGGGAGTGTCTTGTGTTTAACAGCCCTCGCACATTCATTGTGATGATATATTAGTTTGTCTTCTCGAGCCATCCTTTGAAATCTTCTGTTCAGCTCCTTTATTTCATCATTTCTCCCATTCCTTTAGCTACTTTCCATTCAAGAGCAAGTTTCAGAGTCTCTGCTGACATCCATTTGGGCCTTTTCTTCCTTTCTTGTCTTTCTAATGATATGCTGCTTTCTCATGGATGATGTTCTTGATGTCATCCCACAGCTCGTCTGGTCTTCAGGGTGATTAGTGTTCATTTGCCGAATCTGTTCTTCAGCTGGTCTCTAAATTCAGGTGGGGTATACTCAACTTGTACTTCCGCTCTCACGGACTTGTTTTCATTTTCTTCAGCTTCAACTTGAACTTGCATATGAACAATTGATGACCTTTCCACAACCAGTCTTTTTGTTGTGACTGACGATATTGAGCTTCTCCATCATCTCTTTCTACAGATATAATTGGTTTAATTCTTGTGTACTCCGTCTGCTGGGGTCCACATATATGCCTTTTATGTTCTGGAGAAAAGGTATTTGCGATGAATGTCGTTGGTCTTGCAAAATTCTATCATGGGATCTCTGGCATCATTTCTATCACCAAGGCCATATTTTCCAACTTCCGATCCTTCTTTGGGAGCTCTGGTGGCATAGTGCCCAAGGCACTTGACTGCTAACCAGAAGGCTGGAGGTTCAAACCCACCAGCCACTCCTCGGAAGGAAGGTTGGGCAATCTACTTCCGTAGTGATACTGCCTTGGAAACCCCAGGAGGGGTCGCTATGAGTCGAGGCCGACTCCATGGCAGTGAGCTTGGTTTGGTTTTGATCCTTCTTTGTTTCCAACTTTTGCATCCCAATCACCACTAAGTATCAATATATCTCGATTGCATGTTTGATCATATTCAGACTGCAGAAACTGGTAAAACTCTTCAATTTCCTCATCTTTGGCTTTAGTGGTTGGTGTGTGAATTTGAGTAAGAGTCGTATTAACGGTCTTCCTTGTAAGTGTATGGAGACTGTCCTGTCACTAACAGCATCGTGCTGTGGGATCGATCTTGAAACGTTCTTTTGGACGATGAATTCTGTGCCATTCCTCTGCAATCTGTCACTCCAAGTGTAGGGGACCATATGATTTCTGATGCAGAATGGCCAAAGCCAGTCCACTGCAGCTCACTAACGCCTACAATATCGATCTTCATGTGTTGTGTTTCATTTTTGACAGCTTCCAATTTTCCTACATTCATACCTCATACATTCCGTGTTGCGATTACTAACGGATGTTTGTAGCTCTCTCTTCCCATTCTGAGTCGTGCCATATCAGCAAATGAAGGCCCCGAAAGCTTTGCTCCACCCCCGCATTGAGGCGACTCCGCTCTGAGGAGGCTGCTCTTCCCCACTCGTAGTCTGGGTGCCTCCTGACCAGAGGCGTCCATCTTCTGTCACCGTATCGGACATGTTCCACTGATGGTCACAAACTTTTCCCCGGCCTGTCTGTCACAGTCTGGAAGTGCCACTGAAACCAGTCTACCACGGGTCACCTTGCTGGTACCTGAAATACCAGGGGCATAGTTTCCAGCACCCACCATGGTGTTTTCCTTCTCTGACAGGTGTGGCTAAGGCATTCAGCTGCTAACCAAAAGGTCAGCGGTTGGAACCCACCAGGAGGAACTCCACAGGAGAAAGACGCAGCAGTCGGCTGCCCTGTAAAGATTTTAAGTCTTAGAAACCCTGTGGAGCAGTTAGTTCTGCTCTGTCCTCTAGGGGCGCTGTGAGTCAGCTTCGACTCCATGGCAGTGGGTTTGGCCGGGTGTCCACCTTACACAGATTCCAGCTCTCATAGGTTTTACTCTATTTCTGTAATAGAGTGACTGGGTACCGATGTGTCATTCGTGTCTCCAGACTCACCTCAGATCTAACTTGGCCGGTGTTAGAGACCTCTGCTAGACAGAGCAGTGAAACTGTAAAAAAAGAAGGTGGGGAGAGCTGTTTGTTATGTGGCCTTGGGCAAGTCACTCCCCCTCCCTGAACCTGCCTTCCCTCCCCTTGCAGCACACACACAAAACAAACTCACTGCCACCAAGTCCATTCTGACTCATAGCTACCTCCGTTGGGTTTCCAAGGCAATAAATCTTTATGGAAGTAGATTGCCCCATTTTCCTTCCACAGAGCGACTGGTGGGTTTGAACCACCAACCTTCTGGTTAGCAGTCCGATGCCTTAGGCACTGCACCACCAGAGCACCTTCCCTTACAGCACCAAACTCACTGCCATGGAGTCAGTTCCGACTCCATAGTGACCCCTTTTGGGTTGCCAAGGTGATAAATCTTTATGGAAGTAGATTGTCCCATCTTTCTTACACAGAGTGGCTGGTGGGTTTGAACCACTAGCCTTCTGGTTGGTAGTCAAATGCCTTAGGCACTGCACCACCAGAGCACTGAAAAAAAAAAAAACCACTGCTGTCAGTCAAACTCACCTGAGTTGGGTTTCCAAGGCAGTAACTCTTGACCAGAAGTAGGATTTTTGTGGGTGGCTCCTCCCCCTCCCCCTCTGGAAGGTGACCTCCATGAGGGCAGGGACCTTGCTTCTCTCTCATTCGCGCTCAGAACCTCGCCCACACGAAGCACATAGTAGGTGCTCAGTGAACATCCGGTAAAGGAAGCAAACACGGTCCTTTCCGCTGTGGGCGGCTGTGGTCAGTATCTGCCTCCAGCCTGGAAACCCAGAGAGGCTTGAGCAGGTTTGAGGACAGGCTTAGATTTGCATCTGAAAAGGCTCAGTAGGCTCCCGGTGAGGACAGACTGGGGGATGAAGGCTTGGAGGCCAGAGAGAAAAGGCTGTGCTTTGGGAGACATTGGGGGGGTGGATCCCCTGCTGTGGCAGCGGTGTTGGGGGGCCAGTGGAGGGATGGATGTGACCTCTCTGAGGAGTGGAGTGAGCAGGGCCAGGTTGGAGGGTGGGTGCGGGGAGAAGAGGGTGAAGGAAGACCCAGGGAGATCGCTCAGAGAATGGGGAGGGGGTGGCAGTGGCTCAGATCCTCCGGCGGAGCCCGGAAGCCCCTGAGGGTCACCGTGCCCACCTCCCCTCCCTTGTCTGGGCTGCAGGCCGGTTTGAAGCCTCTGTGATCGAGGAGCGGCGGAAGGGGGCTGAGGACCTGCTCCGCTTCACCGTGCACATCCCAGCGCTCAACAACAGCCCGCAGCTCAAGGAGTTCTTCCGGGTTCGTGCCTCCCCCCCACCCAGTCTCTGGAACGTGGGACACCGCCCACCCACCACCAGGCTGTATTGTGATTCACCCACCCCTGGTCTTTCTCCCCTGCAGGGCAGGGAGGTAACAAGGCTGTCCGAGGTGTCCAGGGACCTGCACATCCTGCCACCACCCCTGATCCCCACGCCACCCCCAGAGGAGCCCCGGCTGCTCCAGCCACTCCCAGCTGAGAGGAGGGGCCACGAGGAGTTGGAGGTGCCAGGTGCATCTGAAGTAATGGGGAGGCAGCCAGCCGGGAGGGTCCACTCTCTGCTGGTAGTAACCTTGGTAAAATAAACTGGCAGTGTGTCTCAGTTCCAACACTGACCTGCTGAGGAACTCTGGGCGGGTGATTGCCTTCTCTGGGCTCCAGTTTCTCAGTCTGTAAAATGGGCGCAAACCCTCATGGCGGCTGCAAGGAATTAATGAAAGGTGTCCTCCCCTTTTGAAAGCTGGGAAAATGATTAAGTTCAGGTGCTTATGTCCCCACTGATCTGTTCCCCAGCGGACCCCCCACCATCCAGCCCCGCCCAGGAGGCCCTGGACCTCCTCTTTACCTGTGGGAGCGCCGAGGACGCCACCGGGTCCCCTGCCCGCGGCGCGCTCACCGAGGCTGAGCTGGCCATCTTCGACCCGTTCTCCAAGGACGGTAAGCAGCTGGAACAGCAGAGGGCTAGCTGGGGCAGGAGACCCTTGGGGCTGGGCGGGGAGGAAGGCTGTAGCTAGGGGGCGTCTGTGTGGATCCGAGAAAGGCCCCCCTCGGCCAGGTGGCCCTGCAGACAGATGACAGCCTCCAGAAGAGAACCAGGGTGAGAGGAGGGAGGGGCTTTGTGGAGGTGGACCGGCCAGGTGCCTGAGGGGTGGAGACAAGGAGCCAGGGCTAGAGAGAGGGTGGGGGGACTCTCCAGAGTTAAGGGTATCTGTGTCCACACTCCCTCCTGGTACCTGTCACTCACTGTCCTCACATTTGGGGACTCAGGTGAAATCAAAGCCCTCAGGAAAAAAACCCTGAGATTCTCTGAATCCATTTTTCCAAGATTTCATGGCTTGGAACACTTCTGCCCTCGGCCTGGTGTAGTTGGTCCAGCTTCCACAGTTTTTGTGGAGGAAATGTGTGGATGTGTAGACGAACAAGGAGTCGGAAGGGAAACAGAACCAATGACGGACAGCGTGTCCAATATTGTTAGTGTGTATGTAAAGGAAGACTCAGGAAGGAAGAGCCATTTTCACAACAGCACGTAAACGCCATCAATCAACTGATCAAGGAGCCTGGGTGGTTCAATCAGTTGCTAACCAAAAGTTGGCGGTTTGAACCACCCTCAGCGGCTCTGTGGAAGAAATGCCCTGGCAATGTGCTCCAGCGATGATTAGCATAGCTAGCAGAGTAGCTCATGGCCGTGGAGTCGGATCCAACTCTTAGCGACCCCTTCAGGGGTTTCCGAGGCAGTATCTCTGGGAAGGAAGTAGATTGCCTAGTCTTCCTTCTGAAGGGTGGCTGGTGGGTTTGAACCGCCACCAGAGCTCCCTCAAGAAAATCCTACAGTTCTGCTCTGTAACTCATGGGTCACCGTGAGTCAGGGGCCAACTCGACAGGCAGCTAATGACAACAGTGGTTTGCTGTACACAGGTGGCTTCTGGAGTCCCCAGGCACTGTCCCCTCTAGCGGGGTGGCAGACCCTGGGTTGGTGCCTGTTGGGCAAGTGTGTTTGTGGGTGGGTAGCAGGCCCTGGTGGGGAGAGAGGGCCAATCTGGCCTGAATCCTCCGTATCTGGTTACAGAAGATGCAGGTCCCAGCCCCACCCATGTAGGCGAGCTGGCAGCAATGGAGGCGGAGGTGGGGAGGCTACACCAGGAGCCCTGGGAGGCAGGAGGGCACGAGGAGGAAGAGGGTGAAGAAGGAGCAGCCACCCCTGCCTATCTGAGCCGGGCCACGGCGCTCATCACCCAGGCTCTGCAGGACGAGAGAGCCGGTGCCTACCCTGCGGCATTGCAGGGCTACCGAGACGGCGTCCACATCCTGCTCCAGGGGGTCCCCGGTGAGTGCGTGCTGCGGGTGGGGGTCAGCCTGGGGGCCTGGGTGGTGCAGCAAGGAATGGACTCAAGGATCAGAAATTCTTGCTTCTCACTGACCAGCTGGGTGACCTTGGGCAGTATCTTTCCTCTTGTGGCCTCAGTTTTCTCATATGTATAATGGGGAGAACAGAGGCAAAGTCCCAGGGAAGGGGGAGGGGCACGTGCTGATGCCCTGGGACGGGGCCTAGGTACCTGGGCTAAGCCACTCTCCCTTCACAGGTGACCCGTCTCCTGCCCGCCGAGAAGGGGTGAAGAAGAAGGCTGCTGAGTACCTGAAGCGTGCAGAGGAGATCTGGCACCTGCACCTGTCCCAGCTCCCACCCTGAGAGGGTGTAGACCCTTCCCAGGACTCTAGCTCCAACACTGCCAGCCACCACCTCCTCCCCTCACTGGGGCCAGGCCCTACTGTGCAGCCAAGCCCTACCCCTTGGTCTTGTAACCCCACGGGCCATTTCTGTATGTAACTGGACCAAGAATGAGAAAAATAAGTATTTCTTAGCTCCCTGACTGTATCTGCCACCACGAAATTAGGCGTTAACACGTCTGATCCCACCTGTCTCTATCTTACGTGTCACTATAGTACCAGTTTACCCTTCTAGAACCCAGGTCTGCAAATCATGGCTTGAGGCCAAATCTGGCTATCACTTTTTGTAATTTTTTTTACAGCTCATGAGCTAAGAATACTTTTAACATTTTTTGATGGTTGAGAAACTTTCAGGACAGGTGAAAATTACATGAATGTTAAGTGTTTGTAGCTCCTTTGTGCAGTGTATTGTCATTGCTGCTTTCCCAGTACGTCCCAGGATGGAGTACTTGCATAGTTGCAACACAGACTGCAGAAATTGCAAACATGAAATACTTAACCATCTGGCCTTTTAGAGAAAAAGGTTTGCTGACCCCTGATCTATAAAATGAGAGAACAGTCCCCAGGGAAGAGTGGAAAATGGCAGTAAGACTGACCTAAAGCCAAACCCATTGCCGTGGTGTCCTTTCCATGTGTTACAGAGAACTCTGTAGGGCTTCTTGGCCATAATGTTCATGGTAGCAGACAGCCAGGCATTTTTTCCGCAGCACTGCTATATGGGTTCAAACTGCCAGACTTTAGTAATCAATTGCAAACCTCACCACCCAGGGACATAGTAAGACTGATAAGAGCCAGGTTATTTTAGGGGATAAGACTGAAAAAGAGGAACCCAAAGTGGGAACACTCATTTTGGGAAGTCCAAGACAAAACGCAAATGGGTCAAAGGGCAGTGGGATCCGAGCAGCAGCCGGCAGGTAACCCTGCGTGCAAAGCGATTGGTTGCGGAAGAATACGAACTGCTGCATCATGAGAGGCCCCAGTTACAAATTAAAAACACCACAGGGGGTCACGCGGTTGCACGCAGTGCATCATGGGGGGACGTTAGCGGGCTTGTGCACACGGAACACTGTTGGCCGCGCTGGACTACAACGCAGTGCATCTCGGGAACTCGGCTCGGAGCTGTTGGGACCCGGTGAGAGGGCGGCGGTGGGCGGGGCCGGGTGGGAGGCGAGCCTAGCTGGGCGCCGCGGGTCGGTCGGTAGAATGGGGCGAGTGGCCGCCGCCGCCGCCGCCGCCCTCGGGATGCTGAGCGCCGGCCCTCTCCCCGCAGCCCAGTCATGCCCGGCTACGAGCTGCCCGTGGGCACGTGCCCGGACATGTGCCCGGCCGCCGAGCGCGCCCAGCGTGAGAAAGAGCGCCGCCTGCACCGCTTCGAGGTGGCGCCGGGGTGCCGCGGGAACCCGCCCCGGGCCGA